AGCCTATCAGGGTTCATAGAGCCCAGAAATATTGGTGGAATAGTAATACATGCGCATGCACACACATACACACACATCTCACTTCCTACTGACACTCTTGCCCTTGCAAGCCCAAGAAAACACCAACAATTATGTAGAACTTAGTCACTGTGAGACTTTGGGTAAATTAATACTCCTTAGGGGGTGGGCGGGAGGAGGGGAGAGAGGGGGATCTGTGGTTGGTATGTAAAATGAATAAAAAGTTTCTTAATAAAGAAAAAATTAATACTCCTAGACTCAACTTTTTCACCTGTAAAACGGGAATGAATGTTAGTGTGGGTACCACAGTTGTTCTAAAAGGTAAACCCCAAATATCTCAGTGCCTTACCACCAGAGGAGCTTTGTGATACTCCCACTGAGTGGAAGCTGTCCCCTAAGTTTGCAGCTTCTGCTACCCCATGCCTGTCTGCCCAGATGGAGGAGGAGAAAAGAACAGAGAGGGTCTCCCGTGGAAGGGTTGATTTAGCCAGTACTGCACAGTTGTAGCCAAAATAATAACAACATCATCCCACTGTGCTTAACTGCGAAGTCACCTGGTAAATAGAGTATTGCCGTGTGCCCAGAATGAGGAACAAGTTTGTAAGAAGGTAGCCAGACCCTCCCCAGGATGAAAACCTTATAGCATTGTTGGATTGAGTAGGATGGTACATGTTCTTCAGCTACCGGTTCTTGGAGGGAGGGAAGTGGGCTTTGGTTCCAAGTAAGGAGGAGAAGGGAGGCGGGGGTGGGGGGTGGGGTCTTCAGCAACACTGCAAGACCTTCTCTGCCTGCTGCTCTTGGACAACTGCGTGAGTCTCGGGATTCCTACCTGAATGCAATGTCCAGATTCTTTATTTCATGGGCAGTTGAACAAAAAACAGTAACGAAAATATAGATTTGCTCAAAAGTGAGAGTAAGAGCATAGAGTACACTCCACAGAATGGAGAAGGCTCCGGTAAGCACACGGCTGACATAGCATCTTCTTGTGAGTCTGGACAGAGGAGAGGGCCTAATCCCCAAGGGCAAGAATGGGATGGGTCCTTACCATGATTGACAGATAGACTCTTAGATATCTGTATAAGCTGTGTGTGGGTGAGCTGTACATCCCATAGTCTTAAACATGCATGCCCTCCATTATGCGTGATATGAAAATAGGGGTTTTGGCCCCATGACAAGTCAGTTCAAGGACAGATTGGCATGTACTCAGCTTACCCACAATATAGGCATATTAGTTACCTTCTGCTGTGATGAAACACCATGACCAAAAGCAACTTATGAAAGAGTTTAGAGCTCATGGCTCCAGGGGCACAAGAGTCCATCCTGGTGGGAAAGCATGGCCACAAGCAGCAGATGTGACAGCAGAGGCAGGAAGCTGAACACACAAGCACAGGGAGGGAGCACACTTGAAGCCCACCCCAGTGACGTACTTCCGCCAGCAGAGCCCCTCCTCCTAACCCTTCCCAAACAGCGCCACCAAGTGGTGAACAAGTGTTCAAACACCCAAACGTGTAGGGGACGTAGTCATTCAAACCACCGCCACAGGTCTAACCTGGCCTTTTATCTCTCTTTCTACCAGTTTGTGCCCGACTACAAATTACCCACGAGAGCAGAGCCTCTGGGGGTTGCCTTACCAGGAAGGGGGAAAATGATTTTTTTTTTCAATGAGAGCTCCCTCTAACCACCCTGCTGTTTCAGTTTTCTTCCTATTTGTACGATAAGACACTGACCAAAATCAATTTAGAGAAAAGGGTTCATTTCTTCTAACAGCCTCAGTCCATCACTGATGGGAGTCAGGGCAGGCACTGACTGAGGCAGGGACCATGGAAACGATGCTTACTGGCTCCCTCCCCATGACTTGCTCAGCTTGCTTTAGTATACAACGCAGGAAATGCCCAGAGATGGTACCACTCACAGTGAGCTGGACCTTTCCACATCATTCATCAAGAAAATGCCCCTCAGGCCAGGCTTGGTGGTCCATGCTTTTAATCCCAGCATTTGGGAGGCAGAGGTGGATCTCTGTTAAATTCATCCAGCCTGGGTCTACTTAAGGAGTTCCTGGACAGCCACAGCTTCATAGTGAAACATTGTCTCAAAAACAGAAAGAAAGAATGGGGGGGGGGGGGTTGAGACATGGCTCAGTGGTTAAGAGCACTGACTGCTCTTCCAGAGGACCCGGGGTTCAATTTGGAACACCCGCACGGCAGCTCACAACTGTCTATAATGCCAAGATCTGACACCCTGACACAGACATACATGCAGGCAAAACACCAATGCAAACAAAATAAAAATAAATAAATAAACTATCATTATATAAAAAAAAAGAAATAATGAATCAACAAAAGAGAGGAGAGTCCCACAGACTTTCCTACATACCGATCTGATAGAGGCATTTTCTCAGTTGAGATCCCCTCTTCCAAGATGACTCTATCTGTGTCTAGGTGACAGCACACTGGCCTTAATCACCCCCTGAAAAGACAGATTTCCAAATACAGTCACATGCTGAAATATTGTGGTTTGGTACTTCCACGTGTGGCTCTGAAAGGATCCACAGCCCAGTCCTTAACAGTAACCTTGTATCAAATTTTTTTAAAAAAAAAAATAGAGTTGGAAATGCAGAAAAAGAAAAGGACTAGAGTGATGCTGTAGCAAGATGGGTAGATCGTGTGGATAATTCTGGTCCTCCAGCTCTGCAGCTCCTCCAAATGTTGTGCCATTTGATTGATTGCACAGCATCAGAAATCCCATTTGTTCATCCCTCGACCACACTCCTCGGAAGAGTCTGCAAGGATGTCGGCGTTATCCTTGTCAAGCGTGTGGTGACAGGAACAACTTTTCCAAACTTCTCGCTCATGCTTGAAAACATGGATTCGATCATTGGTAACAAATACTGTTGGCTGTTTATCTTGAAATAGCCAGCTCGTTTTGTTCATTTTAAGAAAAATATTTGCCAATTCCCCTCATCCCAGCAACCACAGTTGGCCCGGCAGCCACTCTTTCAAACAGAGTGGGTTCCACAAGAACAGCTCTCAGCATGTGACAGTAACTGCCCCGGGGTACAGCAGAGGCACTGTTACGAGGTGTGTTTTTTAATTAAGTGTACAAGAGCCACATTTAGTTTCTGCCACTCTCCTTCCAGCTCCTTTTTTTTTTTTTTTTTTTTTTTTTTT